CCCCGGGGCTGCGGCTGCTGCTGGGGTGCGGGGGGGGACGGGACCCAAAGCAGGTCCCGGCTGCGCGGTGCCCGGAGCGGGGCGGGCTGGAGGGGCTGCGGGCGCTGCCGGCTCCTTGCCGCGGGTAGCGCGGGCAGGACGAGTCGTCGTCGTCCCCAAACTCATGCCGCCCCAGGAGGGTCCCCAGGCCGGGCAATGCCCCGGCCAAAGGCCACACTCATCGCTCCCACCGCGCCAGGGCCTCCGCGTGCCTGGCACGCACCCCTGACGGTGCAAAGGGCGGCGGGGGAGAGGATGGAGAAGGGGGGAGACCGGGCTGCGAGTCCCCCCTCGCCGGTCCTCCGTTTCCCAACACAACGGTTGGCGTTGGGCAAACAGTGGCAAGCTGACACAGGAAGCCCAGAGCCAACCTCTGACCATGGCGCCGTTACAAAATCTGCCCGCTGCTGGGGCGAGAGCTCCGCGATCGGGCCTGGAGCAAGCCTGGCTCTGCAGCGAGGGTCGGCCTGGCAGTGGGGCCCCCGTCCCCCCACTGCAGTACACCCTGCGTGCAGCCTTTCTTGCACCACAGAGGGGATGCAGACCAAGGTGGGGGGCAAACTGCCCCTCTGCCCGCAGCACCATCCCAGAGCCAGGCAGTCTCTGGAGGGGCTGAAAGATGCGTCAGGTCCGAGCACAGCACAGTCCCTGCGCGACCCACAGCAGCCAGGCTGCCAGCCAGCCCCAGGACACTGCCACATCCTGGGACGTGTCCTGGGATGTGGTGGGGCCCTGCTGCTCCCACCTCTCTGCCAAGAGGAGAGGGGTTTCATCCTAATTAGCTCAAGGCACAGGAGGAGTCAGGACTGGGTTTGGAAGCCGCTCTGCTTTCTCTCTTCCTGCCCCAATCTGCTCTTCTCCCAGCAAGCCATCGCTCTGGGGGAAGCTGCAACGCTGCATCTACCCCCGATAAGCATTGCGCTGCCAGTGCCCCCCACCCCACAGCAATTGCACAAGGCAGCAGCACCCAGAGAGGAGGAAGCAGGAGGGAGATATCTGCCAGCACCCAGGCAGAGGCTCAGCCTCCAGAGTTATTTAAGCACCCCCCACCCCTGAGTGGCCCCAGAGGAGGTGGCAGTGGTCCGCTCTGCACCAGCATGGTCACGGCTGGAATGTTCATCCTCAGCCTGGGAGGCACCGTCCTGCTCCCAGCACTGGCCTCAGCAGGTAACGGGAGAGCTGGAGCTGAGAGGGCTGCAGGGCTGGTCCCACAGCCAGGGCGGGAGATGGAGACCCTGAGCTGGAGCACCATGGTGCAGGGGAGCCTTTGCCCTTCCACACTCAGCCCTCCTCGGCCAAAGCTGATGCTCAGCCACTCCCTGGTACCTGCGGGTAGTGCTGGGGTGCTTGGGACACAGAGCCAGGAGCAGGACAGACACGGGCGAGAGCCGTGCCGGGACTCCCTGGCAGCCGGTGACTGCTTGCACCCACCAACCCACCAGGCACCCAGGGGAGCCGGATCATCGGGGGAAAGGCGGCGGCACCCCACTCCTGGCCCTTCATTGCCTCCATCCAGATAAATGGGGAGCATGTCTGCGGGGGCTTCCTGGTGTGGCCCATGTGGGTGATGACAGCAGCCCACTGCCTCATTCCCAGGTAAGCCACGCTCCCACGCAGCGCACGCACCTCCCGTCCACCCCGGGACACGGCGCGGCCCCCTTCAAACAGATATTCCCATCCCAGGGGGTTACGCAGTCCTGGAGCAACCCCCCTCCCGCCCACCTGTGCTCCCCTGGAGCCCACCTTGCCAGCCCCCTTCTCCCCGCCCCCGATCGCCCCGAGCCGCGGCAGTGCCCACTCAGGGCCCCTCTGTCGCAGGCACAGCCCCTCGGTGCGCGTGGTGCTGGGCGCCCACAGGCTGGAAGAGCCCGAGGCATCCCAGCAGATCTTCCGTGTCGACAAGTCCATCGCCCACCTGTACTACGACCCCTACTCGGGGGACAACGACATCCGCCTGCTCAAGGTGAGTCCCGCCCGCGTCACTGGCCATCGCGGACCTGCCCACCGGGGGTTCGTGGGCTCCCACCGGCCGGGAGGTTAGGTGGCCCGTGCCCCGTGGGACGCAGGAGGGAGATGGGGTGCCCCACGCCCCGCGAGGCGCAGGAGGGAGAGGCCCACGCGGGCCCGAGCCGACACTAGGTGTCAGTGCTTCTCCGGAGAAGCGGGACCGCGCCGCGGGGTGCGATGGAGGTGGCCGGGGACACGCCGACCCCGGCTGGGACAGCAGCCCCCTCCACTCCCGGGCAGCCAGTCTCTAGAGCAGGCTGGGACCAGTGCGGGGGGCTCAGCCCCTGAAGAGGGAAGGGCAGGGTTGGGGCGGGCGTGTGATGGGGTGCGGGGGGTTCGGGGTCCCCAGGCAGGAGCAGTTGGGGGGCTCTGCCCCAGCAGCGAAGCCACCTGCGCCCCTGGCTCCCTGCCCAGCTGGACAGGTCAGCCACGCTGAACGAGTATGTGAAGCTGGCCCACCTGCCCTCACCACACGTCGACCTGAATCCCGGCACCGTCTGCTACGTGGCGGGCTGGGGGGACATCTCCAGCTCCGGCAACCAGCCCACTGAGCTGATGGAGACCAGCACCACTATCGCCAAGTGGAGCCTCTGCCGAACGCTGTGGAGGGGCAGGGTCTCGACCAACATGCTGTGCGCGGCCAGCCACAACACCACACTGCAGGGCGTCTGCTCAGTGAGTGCACTCCCGGCCCCGTGCCCCCCAGCCATCCCCCTCCAGGAGATCCGCTAGTGTCCCTCCCACCCCCTTGCTTTGCAGGGTGACTCTGGGGGACCCCTGATCTTCAACAAAAAGGTTTATGGCATCGTCTCCTTCTCTGGGAAGAGATGTGGGGACCGCCGGTACCCTGATATCTACACCAAGATCTCCAACTACATCGACTGGGTGCATCGCATCGTGCAAAGGCAACACCATCAGAAGGGGCAGCCGAAGCCCTAGCCAGGCCTGGAAGGTGGTCTCGGGGGCAGACGGGCTGCGGGGAGAGGGTCTGAGGTGTCTTGGCTGTCTGGCAGCTCCCAGGAGGGGCGAAGAGGGCCAGGAGTCCCAGGTCCTCCCAGCTCGGAGGGGGTTTGGGAGCTGATGCTCAGGGCTCCTCAACCCAGGGCAGGGCAGGAGACTGACTCTGCCTATTGGCGAGGGGACACTTGTCCCCCCAAGCTGTACAAGAAGCCCCAGCACCTCACTCTGCCTCTTGCAAGCAGCAACGTTTGCCTTCCTCAATAAAACCTGGTCCCAGCCCTCCATCCATTCACCTTCCCTCCACCCACCCTACTCCCCCCCACCTTACAGAGGGGCCACAGCCCTGGCTCTGGGGCAGGCAGGAGCTCCAGGGATCCTTGCCCCCCATCAGCCCCAGCCCACCCTGATCCGGCCCCAGGGACATGATGGGGAGACCGAGACCGAGACCGAGACCCACCTGCCCTGGGAGCCAGCAGAGCCTGGGCCAGCGTTTTAGCCCCCTTTAATGTCCCACTGGGCAGCTGAGTCCGGGAGGGCTGACTGATCCTTAATCCCACACTGCCCAGGCGGCTGCTGCCCATCTCAACGGGGGGTGGTTTTCCCCAGCTTTCCCCTCTCCTGTCCTTCCCCTGCCCCACCAGGATGCCCTCTCTGGCTCTGTCACTGCTCCCCATTGCACTCCGGTCCCCAGCCAGACCCCCCCAGCTTGTCCTGGGCTGGGGTGGATGGAGCAGGGGTTGCAGGAGGAAGGAGGGAAGCACCAGCCCCCGCTCATGACTAGGCTCTGCCCCAGAGGAGCCAGGACCCTCATCCAGGCGCTGCCATCCCACGGAGCATCCCAGCAGCGCTGGAGCTGTCTTCCCACCGGGGTGGGGCTCCCCCTCCCATCCCATCCCATCCCATCCCACCCTGTCTCATCCCATTCCGTCTCGTCTTGTCCCATCCCATCCCACACCGCACCCTCCCCACCATGCTACGGGACCCCCCAAACAGGGGAACCACAGACACCGCCCGAGGGCAGATGGGCTCCCAGCCGCCCGGCTGCGCTGGCAGAGCCCGCGGGGATCCTGTCGAGAGCCTCACCCGCCTCCCCAGCACGCTCGGGCGCGCAGATGGATGCTTGTCCCAGAGGGAGCTGGGTGGCTGCGGGCGCAGGGGTCGGGAGCTGCCCATGCCGGCCGGGGGGACACGTGCTGCTGGGTCTCAGCTGAGACATGCAACACAGCATGCGGCTTTGCCCAGCGTCGCGGCCGTCTCCGGGGACAGACCCAGACATTCCCTGCTCCTGGTTGTTTGTTTCATCTGCAAATTGCTGGCACGCCGCTGCCACAGGGTGCAGCCGCCCTCCCTGCCCGGGGGATTCCGCAGGAGGCTGCAGCTGACCGCAGCGTCTGGCACAGGCCATCTCAGCGCCCTTGGGGGCTCGGCCGGAGAAGATGAAGGCCAGGGCTAGGCCAGTGTGCCGAGAGGTCCCCAGAAAGCACCCTCACCTCTGCAGTCCCCATGGTCCCCGTGCTGGGGAGCCCAGGGGCTTTGGCTGCGCCCCGCTGCAGCACGCTGCCCCATCCCCTCCTGTGGCAATCCGAGCTCCCTGCTGCGGGGCTTTGCATGTGGTGAGGGGGACACAGCCATGGGCATTGGTGGCCTTGGGGACACCGGGGGACACCCAGCAGAGAACAGACCCCTGCCAGGCTGCCAGCCTCCAAGGAAGCCCCAAATCCCCATGGGCTCCCTGCAGTGGCAGCGTGGGGCAGACCCCCCCAGGATGCTGGGGCAGGGCTGCCAGCCCTGGGGCTTCTGCATGCTGCTGGGAAGCCTGGAGAGCCGGCGCCTGTCCCGGCTTGTCCCAGACCACCCAAAAACCAGCGGGAAGGAGGCGCCTGACTCACAGCCGTCTTTTGGAAGCCGAAATCTCCCGCTCATCGGCAGGAGCTGACGTCGCTGCTGCAGCTTGTGCCCGTGGACTTGGCACGGGGCAGCACGCCAGGCGCTTCGGGGGCCAAACCCTCTGGCTGGGGCAGGCGGAGGATGGCGAGCTGCCTTGGGGAGGAAGGCGCTGCGGGCGGGCTGTAGAGAAACCCGGGCCACACACCACCACATGTGGCAAACGCTGGCACCAGGGAAAGTCCTGGGCAGTGTTTTGGCAACTTCTTTACACCCATCCCCAAAAGGGGGGGGGTGCATCGCTGAGCTGGGTGGGGAGAGAGGGGCTGCAGGAGAGCCCCCGCCGTGCCCACCCTGGGTTGAGATGCCACTGCCTGGCAGCGGTGCCCGGCCGGGCTCAGCGCAGCTCCAGGGTGCACGAGACGCCCAGGCTCAAACCAGTCTGCAGCCTGGGCCAGATCCCACACGATGCTCAGCTCCCTCCCGGACCACAGGGAGGGCTGAGGGTGCTGGGTGCCGGCCAGGAGCAAAGGTCTCGTTTCCCCCTCCCTGCTTCACAGTGCCTCAGTTTCCCCTGTGTAAACCCCCCACCCAGGTCCGGGGGGGTCTCTGTCAGAGCCAGCCTGCCCACAGGAGCCCCCCGCTGCTGTCGGGGCTGTGCTGGAGCCCGTCCATGCGGCAGGTCCTGAGCCAGGCCCAGGCTGGGAAGCGCTTGACCCACGCGAGGCTCAGCAGGGTCTGGGGGCTGTGCCATGCCAGACCCTGGCACAGGGGACACGGCCGAGGGGGAACCGGCAGCGGCTCCTGTTGAGCTCAGAGCGCCAAGCCGCAGGCTGCCGCCCGGGCTCCCACCGCCAGGGAAGCATCGCACATCAGGACCCAATTAATGGCAGGAATTGTTTTGTGAAATACCAAACCCTCATGGCACGGCCTGATATTGGGAACAGATTTATCTGCGTTGCTGGTTGCTCTTCCTCGCTCTCCCCTTTCCTCCCGCTGCAGAGAGCGGCCTCAGCTGGGCTGGAAAAACCCCAGTGCCAAAGCTGAAGCAGACGCAGCCCAGGACCAGGGCCAAGCTTCTTACCTGCTTCCGGGGGCTCTCCCACCCCAGGTGCCCCCACGTCCCTCTGCCCACGCCTGCCTCAACCCCCAGATCCCCTGCGAGGGGGCAAGCAGTAATGCTGCGGGTAGCACAGCCCCGTGGGAAACAGCCCCAGGGGACACAGCCGCCTCCTGAGGCCCCAGAACCTCCTGAACAAAGTCGGACCCGCAGCACTGTTTATTCTTTTTTTAATAATAATCCAAATTGTAACACAGCCATAAAATGTCCCTAACAATACCGAACAGGAAATGTATATGTTCCCATAGCATCTGCCTCAGGAATCAGAATGCAATCATACAAAAATAGAAAATAGGGTATTTTTATATATATATGATATTTATATAAAGGCAATAGCTTCTTGGTGTCAGAGATGAGATGGTATTTACACAGGTGACAACACACAAAATGAGAGAAGTAAAAATAAATACAGACGGTGTCAACAGAGCAGGGGGTGGGGGCAGGTGGGGGCCAGGGCTGCGCAGCCGAGGGGGAGCTGGGCTGAGGGTCCCCGGGGTCGGGCAGGCAGGGCCATCGCCCCTCTCCTGTCCCCCTCCGCCAAGCTGTGCTCCCCACGGCCACCCCAGCCCCACACCCCCACGGTGGCTCTGCAGTGGGATCGGGAGCCGAGCACCGTCCCGGGGCACCGCGTGGCTGCTTCACCCAGCACCAGCCCTGGAAATGCCTCCGGGAGCCGCAGACCCCCAGATCCCCCGGCAGTCACAGCTGCTTTCAAAGCGGTTTTGGCAGGGAGGGATGAAGAGGGCTCTGGGCAGGCTGGCCCCCGGGCAGGGGCACCTACAGCAGCGGTGGGCTGGGTGGGCCTGGGGGGGTCGGTCATGCCCCCCGGTCAGGGCTGCCATGGCCCATGGTGGGCAGCGCTGCCTGGCCGCCATCGCACCAGCCCTCTGGGCACCGGCGTTGCCTCCAAAGATGGGTGGGAGCCTGGTCTGAACGGGCCCAGGAAAACCTAAACTAAAATCCGTTTTAACATACACATGCTAAAACTTTAGGAGAAAATAACATACATATATATATTTTTTATATATATATATATATATAAAAATATATATCTATCTATCTCCAATCTGATGCAGCACCGTGCTGCCTTTCCTGCCGCTGGCAGCTGGGGCTGAGCCCCTCCGGGGAAAGCGAAAGCGCAGATTCCCTCTAGACCTCAAGGTCCCGGCCAGAAACGTCAGCAGAGTACCGAGAATTCAATCCAAAAATAAATAGGCCCAGGGCTGCTGGCCAAGGACACGTGGGGGGGCCCCAACATGCTGCAGCACGGACACCCCCTCAGCGCTGTGCCGGCTGCAAGGAAGGGCCGTATGAGCACCGGGAGCGGGCGCCAGCCAGCGGAGAGCTCTGCCGGGCACCGGGCAGGCACCGGAGCATCCCCGGCACGGCTCAGCATCACTCCACCATGCGGGCTGGGAGCCCCCTCCCCTGCTTCCCAGCTGGCAGGACTGAGAATCGGGCCCCCTGCGACTGCATAACATACACAGGTATAAATAAGGATCTTTTTATCTTAATAAATATCAGGTATATGGTTTGTACAATATACACATAATGCCCCTGTCTCCTGGGTCTGGCCTCGTGGCGAGGGAGGATTCACACGTAGTTCTCTTCCGCGTTGTCCGTCTCCGGGGAGAATTTGGCCACAGCTGGAAATGGAGCAGGACAGGGGGAGAGTGGTGAGGGAGGTGCAAGGGAGGGCCAGGTGCTGGGGGTCCGAGCCCGCTCCCCCCACCGCCCGCACCCGGATCACCCCGCTCACCCGAGCAGCTCCCGTAGTGACGCACGCCGATGGAGCGGCCGCGGTGGCAGGTGGCCCGCCGGAGGTGGCACGCCGAGGGGTAGGTGACATTGTTGTTGCCGCAGAGGGCATGGTCCAGGCTGGTGGGCTCGGGGCAGGGAGCCGTCCGGCACATCACGCAGTGGGCGCTGCCCGTCTGGTCCACCACGCAGGTGTGGGTGCCAGGGCACACCACACTGGAGCAGGACTCTGCCGGGAAGCACACGCAGCCACAGCTGAGCCTCCCTGGCCAGGGTGAGCCAGGGATGGCCGTCCTCCTCCCGTGGCTCCTCCGACCCAGGTGGGCAGTGGGCGTCCCCTCCCAGAGAAACCCAGGCAGCTCAGGCCCCCTCCCACCTTTAGCTGCCGGGGGTCAGAGTGGAGCTGGGGGCTGGAGGGTCCCAAGCTCCCCCATCATCACCGCTCCCAAGGATGGGAGCTGGCAGGGGCCAATGTCCTGGGTGCGAGGGACCGCGTGGCCCCGCAGCCCTTGGGCACGGCCCCAGCCGGAGCCTCACCGCAAGGCCGGGGTGGGGGGGGGAGCTGATGTCCAGCTGGAGAGCCCGAGCGCGTGGGGCTGAGCCTGGCTTGGCGCGGTGGGACCTGGCCGCTGTGAGCAGCCCCACGCAGGTGCCTTGGCAGGGGGAGCGGTGTCCACTCCGGCCAGGCTGGCAGCCGCCACACCGTGCACGCCCCGGCAAGAGGGGAAGGGCAGGGTCACCCTGGACCCGGCCCAGCCCTGCGAGCGAGGGTGCACGGGGGCGGTGGGAGCCTGCGGGGACAGGATCAGGCCCTGCGCAGAGCTCTGCCAGGCTGGCGCAGAGCAGGGGGCTTGGGCACCCCCCATCTGCCAGCAAAACCCCAGGGTCTGCAGAGCCTGCCGGCCCCGTAGCGCCCACCCCCCCGCCCCGTCCCAGCATAACCCCGCGGCAGCAGCGGGGGCATGGCAGGACCCGCAGCACTCCCCGGACACCGTAAACACTTTGCAACGCCGTCCCTCCGCCTTCCTCTCTTTCCCTGCTGGATTGGAAGGAGATTTGGCATCTGCAACTCCCAGCTCGCAACTCACATTTCTTGCCCCACATTTCCCTGTGCAGTCCAGAGCTTGACAGGCAAAGCATTTCAGAGAGGAGGGCTGGCAAAAATAATCATAATAATTCTGACAGTTCTTGGCAGGGCAAGGAGGATTGCTGCTCTCTTTAACAAAACAAAAAACGGGGCTTGATGTTTGTAAGTGACATTTTACGGACTGTTATTCCTCAGCCCGCGGCGAGGCTAAACCCCTGTTGCACTGACAGGCTGCATCGGCATCACAGGCGGCTTCGCTGCTGCATCCCCGCCAGGGTGGCCAGGCCAGGGCCCTGGGCTGCCAGCCGGGTGGGTGCCAGCTCCGAGCGCAGTGAGGGCAATGCTGAGGGGATGTGACTCCCCCACGGGCCAGGGGCCGCTGGCACCCATCAGCACCGGGCTGGCTGAGGAGCAATGCCCCCTCACTGTGCGCAGACCCCTGTGTGCCGCAGGCGAAGCCCTGAGCTGGGACAGACCTTCCCTCCCTGGGCACAGCCAGGGCCAGGCACCGGTTACAAACCCTCCACGCCATGCTGGTGCAGCCGGCTGCGTGGACGGCTCCTCCCTGGGACACGCTGCCTGCGGCAGGGAGAATGGGGGAGATCCGGCTTCCCGGGAAGGAGAGGGGAGGATGCGCCCGGACCTGCTAGCACAACACAGCAGGGTGACCCTTCTCCGCACCAGAGCGGCTTGCGGTGCGCCAGGAGAGCTGGAGAGCACCTCGGTCCGGGGAGCCGCGCTGCCGTTCACCTCTTTCCACACGGGCGCAGCTTGGACCGGTCCCACGCGGAGCTGGGAACACGAGAGCCACAGGGGACAGGACGAAAGGGGGTGGGGGGGCACGACCAGACCTACTTTTGCATTTGCCCTGGTACATCACTTCGAGGTCGGGGTGGTCTCTGCACTTGGCCGTCAGCAGGTCACACTCGTCTCGGTAGGTGTAGCCGTCGGAGCCGCAGACCTGCAGCTTGCGGGGCAGGCTGGAGCAGTCTGGGGCACAGGCGCACTGGGGACGCCCGTGCTTCATCTTGCAGACCTTGTCGGGGCCGCACACCACCCCCTCGCAGCTCTCTGGGGACAGAGGGGAGCGGCACGTGAGGATGCGGCACCGGCCGCCCACCATGAGGGAAGGATCCATCCTGCCCAGCCTGGCTGGCACCCTGGCCCCATGACCACGCAGGGTAGCACTGACCAGGACGGGGCCAGCATCAGCCCTCGGGGTCCAGAATCCCTCCCGGAGTCACAACATGCATGCTCGATGCCGAGCTGCCCTGAGCAGCATCTGGATCTGCTCAGCTCCGCCAAGGAGCAGGTCCTTGGCTGGAGCTCAGCACGATCATCCAGCACTCACCCCAGCCAGAGCCCCGGCCCTCCACTCAGCACCAGCTAACTCATTTCTATGTATTTTTTTTTTCGGGAAGGAGACATTTCTTTTTCTTGTGCAATGGAAAATCTATCTCTGCAAGGCCCCAGCTCCTCCAGAAGGAACTGGGCTTCGCGAGTTGTCTGGGCAATCAAGAACGCCGCTTCCACCAGACAATACCCAGCCCTGTTTTGCTCCGGGCCTCCGTGACTTGAACACAAGAGCGGGACGCAGCAGCAAGCGCAGATCCCCAGACAGCTGCCTGCTTTGTCCCCCGGGTCGCCTCCCGGCCAGCACAGGGGCTGGGTTCAGAGGGTCCCGCCAGCGCCCGGAGCTGCTCCGGGGCTGTGCCCATGCCGGCGGGGACAGAGAGAGGCCGCCGGCTCCAAGAAGGTGCCTGTCCCAGACGCTGCTGCCTCCGCGGAGAGAGGCAAAGGGGTCAGCACCTAGCCCAAGGCAGGGATGGGGGCTCTGGCTGGGGCGGTGGGAAGCCCCTTGCCCCCACAAAGCATGCACATAGCCCTCAACCCAAAGGGACCCTTCACCCCCTGGGACACGGGCAATGCTGGGAGTTGCGGGGTACGGGGCTGCCTGTGGATGCAGGGACCCCTCAGCACCTGCAGGGAGGAAGGGTGGGCAGGACTGAGAAACATCCCAAGACAGGGATTCACCCCCAGGCAGGAGGGATCCCCGCAGACAGGGTGTGTGCTGGGAGTTCTTGGGAAGTACAGATGGGGATTTCCCTGCGGGAGACGGGTCACTTTGGGAGACAGCGGGGGTGAGGAGGAGGAGGAGGAGGAGGAGGGGGAAATTCCCTGTCTGCTTGGCCCGGCTCTCCCCAGGGGAAATTCCCTGGTGGGAGATAGTTTCCCAGTTTGCTCTGTGATTTCCATAGCTGGGGCTTGTCCAAGGGAAGGGGAGAGTGGCAGGCTGAGCTCTGGCAGCATCTTTGCAGAGAGCCACAGGAACAAGACCCCAGGACAGAGGAGCATGACCCCATGACCCAGGGCTGCCGGAGCAAGTGGGACCCTCGTCACCCTCCACTCTGGGATGCTGCCGCCGGCACAGCAGGGTCCAGCCATGTCCAGACTGTCTCAGCAAGGGAGGGAGGTAGTTGGACTATCTGCCTGTGACCCCGACCCTGCAGCCTGGCTCTCCCCCCCTGCACTAGGTCCCTGGGGGGGACACCATGTCCCCAGCAGCTGGAGCCAGGAATTTCACCTCCTCACTGGAGACCCATTGCAGAGTCCCCGGGGTCTGGCCAGCACCTTCCCGCGGGGCTCGGCCGCCCCGGCTGCTGGCGCAGGGCTGGTGGCTGCAGCCCACTTTATCCTGGAGTAACCTCTCCCAGCCCCGCGAGCCCAGGGAGCGGGAGCGCAGCTCATCTCATCCTCCCTTTTCCAAGGCCTCCGGCTCACTGGAGCCCGGTGGGGAGCAGCACCAGCTCCATCTGGATGGGACAGGCAGGGGCTTTCTGAAGGGTGGGGAGTTGTGGTCTACGTGCCGGCCAGGCTCTCCAGTGGTTTCAGTAAAGGTCCTGCTCCCAGACCCCAACGATCTCCAGAAGCCACAGCCTCCACTGCAGTCTGTGGCCACCGACAGCCCCCCATGTCCACCAGTCTCCCCGCAGAGGGGAGGGCAGACCCCTGGGATGAGCCACGGGGGAGCCGCGCTCCCCAGCCAGCCCCTGGAGAGGGTCCCAGTGCTACTGACACCCACTGAGTGGGGCCAGCCTGCCCAGCCACCGCGGGGCTGAGCCCATGGTGAGAGATGGGGCAGAAAGCCAGGGCCAGAACCTCACTCAGGTTTCAGCTGGCAGAGGGTGCAACCCCCAGCCATGCCAGGACGGGGCTGAGGAGCAACCAGGGTGGCAGTGCCAGGGGGTGCAGAGGGGCTGGAAGAAGCTGTCTTGTTAAGAACCATTTTTTCCCCCTTTAAGCAAATAACGACATGACCTTTCAAAGACCTGCTCCTGCCTACTGCGGTCAGCAGGTCCTTGAGCATGTTCTCACACAGCCACGCAAGTGCGACTGGGGGATCCGTGCCTCTGGCGCACGCCAAAACATCTGGTGGGGCTGGAACTCACAGCTGGAGAGTTTCCACTTCTGGAACTGCCCGTTACATAAAGCCATTTCACACACAGGCTGGGAGGAGGAAGGGGGAGCAGAGGGAAAGAAATAGATCTTTTTTCCTTAAAAAAAAACCAAAAAAACAAACTTAAGAAGTTTTCCTCTGAGCAGACCTGGCGAGGGCAGGGGTGGGAGGCCCCAGCCACAGCAGAGTTAACCTGAGAACAGGGAGCCCCAGCTCGGCTCCTCGCACTTGGGCTGCCCAGCCAAGACCCAGGTCACACACCCCACTCCACAGGGGGAACAAAAATACACACAAAACGTGAGCTGCCGGGGGATGGAAGGTGTCCCGCAAGCCCTGGCCCCATGGCAGCATCCATCCTGGAGCTGCAGCAGCAGGAGCATGGGGTCAGCGGTCTCTGGGGTCCCTGGTCTGTCTGGGAGAGCCTAGGAGGGCACTGGAGAGCCCTGCCTGGTGAGGGGCAGCCCAGCCCCATCGCTGCTGCTTCACCTGGAGCTGCGGGCTCCAAGCACCCTCCCCGAGAAGAGCTCAGCCCCACAGCAGCCCACTTGCCCCACAGCCACACTTACCTTTGCAGGGGTGGCAGGTCACCAGCCCCAGGAAGCCCAGCAGGCTGATCTTGTTGCCCGGGTAGGTGTAATTAGACCAGGCCACGTCCACGTTGCCATTGGCACAGCATTCCTCCCACGTCACTCCCGTCTTCAGGATCATGGTGCACTTGGCCTCCTTCCCCTGCTGCAGCCAGCAGATCCCACCTGCAGAGAGGGCAGAGGGTGAGGGTTCCCCACTGCACTGGGCCACAGCGCAAAGGGCAGCAAAACCCCAGCCGGGCTACCCATGGGGCAGAGGCACAGGGACTGCACCGGTGCCCGGGAAGGGCCGGCATGGGATGAGTTGGGGAACCTAAAGATGCTCTGTGCTGGCTCCCACCTCTCCTGTGGCACAAGCGCTGTCCCAGAGCAGGCATCCCCATGAGTTCCTGGCACAGCGTGGCAGCTCTGTGCCCATGCTGCTGCCCCAACGCCCTGGGCTGCTGGCAGCCCGGCTCCCTGGCCGACAGGCTCCAAACCCAGCACTGGGACCGCAGGGACGTACCAGTTATCTCAGCACTCACAAGCGATGCTCTGGAAGATGCCCAGACAGCAGGCCAGGGTCTGGGCTTGCAGCTTACCCCCTTGCCCTGCTCTCCCTGCCTAATTTCTGCCTGACTCCACAGAGGGGAGGCTTCAGCCCAGGGAGGACAGGCAGGGTGGGGCCAGTGGGCGCCCACACTGCGAGGGCTGGATCCCCCTGTGTGCACCAGCGGCCCCACAGATGGACAGGCACCATCCCCGTGGCGTCAGGGCCTGACACCCACGGCCTCCGCGAGGAGCATCTGAGCCACCGGCTGGAGAACAGGGCACTTGACACAGCCCTTGGGATGGGGCCAGCCCAGCGGCATCGGATCTTTCTGAGTCAAAAGCCTGTTTGTTCCTTAACCCCACGAGCGAATCAGTTATTTTTTTTTGTGAGTGATTCCTTTGCAATTTCCGCCTCTGCAAACCAGCCTCTTCTGACGCTTATTTGGGTTTATGCTCTCATTAGCTGCGTTTGAGGTTTGTTAAACAGCTAAAGATGTGAGGGAGGGATGGGGGAAGGGACAGATCCTGCTGGTACCAGGCTGGAGTGGCTCCCCTCCAAATTAGGGATTCACCCTGCCCCAAAGCAGAGTCAGCACCTGCCTCGGACCCCAGGTGTCCTCCCACTCCCTCCCATGCACCCAATTTTGGTTCAGCCAAAAGCATGTGGGGCTCCCAGCCCAGCTGCAGCCAGCAGCAGCTCTGCAGGGCAGCTATGGATGGAGCAAACCCTCAGGCTGCAGGAACCAGGGGCCTGGACTCCTCTGGAATCATCAGCCAGGCCAATACACCTCTGCCAACGGTGGGTTTATCCTCCATGGATTTGTCCAATTGCTTTTTCAAGCCCATTTTTCCTTTACAACATCCCGTGGCCCCAATTCCTCCACAGTACCAAGCTCCCTGGGAGCTGTAACTGCTTTGTACCGTGCTTGCCCCACAACTGTTGCCCGTGGGTACAGCCACGTGCAGGGTGATCCCACCTGCAGTGGGACAGATCCACGCACAACCTGCCCACACGTCCGGTCTCTGGGGTGCACCCCTGGCCAGCAGCAGCAGGGCACCCACCACCTCCCGAGCCATGCTGGGGTGCGGGGATGCTGACAAGCAACACACCCTGGGCAGGGGGACGGAGCCCACCCACCCTGCAAGTGGAGCAAGGTGGTCGTGGGCCACAGGGGCCAGCGTGGGGTTCTTGGGGCGCCCCGTCCTCAGGGTTTCCCCGGTGCTTCAGCCACAAGGGTGCGGCGCTCCCACACTCAGCACAGCCGGAGGACCCGAGCTCTGGCCAGGGGGACACGGCATGTCCCTGCCCAGGGCCTTGCAGCACTTGTACTCGACCCTGCAAAGCAGCAAGCAGAAATCCCGCAGGCTGGGGCGATGCCGAACACGATCCTGGTGTCCACAGCAGCACGAGGGGCCTCGTGGGAGCCTCCCCTGGCTTCAGGGCATCCTGACCTGCTGCTATCCAGGGAGCATGGACGGCTCCTGCCCACGCTGGCAGAGAGCGATGGGGACACAGGGCATCGTGTGATGGGGAAGACAGAAACGCCAGCACTGCTGCGGGCGAACCGACACCGGTAGCCACGGCTCGGCAGCGCTGGGAAGGGCTGCTGGAGCCCCAGACCGGGGTCCCGGACAGCCTGGGTGCCAGGACGGCTCCCCTGCGAAGGAACAGCTACCAAAAAGCCCGGACGCCTCCCAAGCGCCCGCAAGAGCTGCCAGCACGGTCAGCTGAACCGGGAGGGGTTCAAGCTGCAAACTCCACACCCAGATCACGAACCGGCCGCCGTTCCCAGCTCTTCCCACCCGGCTCGCAAAGCTGCGCGGCACGGCTCTCCCGCTCCCCCCTCGCAGCCCGGGGAGAAAGAGGGACACCCCCCC